TGGTTCTTCCTCAGGGATGTGTTCTGGGTCTGTATCCTGCTCCCTTGTTTCTACCACTTTATCTTGCTTCTTTGTGTGGACTGTGATGGTCTGATATCTCTGAGACATTGTGGCATTGTTGTATTTAGATCTCTGTTAACTCTTTGTGAAGGGCAGCCAAGGGTGAGTCAGGATCTTTTTGGTGGTTGTTTATCATTGGCCCATTGGTGGAGAAGGAAGTAGTGGCTCTCACTCAGTAAGTGAAGGTGTAGGAGATGTGGGTGTAGTTGTGTTGTATGGGGACTGTTGCTGTCTCCCAGTCAATTAGACAAAAATAACAATTGAATAACCATCAAAAAGTAAAAGCAAATGGACAACAAATACACCATGTAATCATACAGGAACAGTAACCAAAATAAGAAAAAAGGGGGAAAAAAACCCCTGCAATATCTGGGGAGAGGGCAATAACAGAAAAAAGGTAAAGAAGGAGAATAATGAAGGAAAAAATGGGAAAAATGCAAAAAGAAAAACAAGGAATGGTGCTAACAATGAGAAAGAAAAAAAAGAAAAATTGTAACCAGGAACGGGGAAAATAAAAAAAGCTGAAAACTAGAACCTGGGAGGGGAAAAATAAAGAATAATAGTAAAAAGGACAAAAGTAATAATAATAATAATAGTAGTTTTAAAACAGATAAAACAAATAAACTAAAAAACAGAAAAAGGAAAAAAATTCTTGCAGGGTTGGTCAGGGCACCCAGGCTCCTTCTGAGCACACAGACTGGGATGGAATTCCTGCCAGTCCAGAAAGTGGGTGGGAGTGAGCGATGGCCGTATCTCCATTCGCCAAGCGGGTGTGGGGTATAAGAGTAACAAGGGGAATGTCTCAGCTTTCCAGTTGTCCAGGTCTGGAATGTGCTTGGGGTTCCTGGCAAGTGGAGCCTGTTCTTAAGTCCCTGGAATCTGGGAGAACGCTGTCACTTTAAATATCCAAAATGGTCAAGCCGCTTGTAAACACTCAGAATGGCTGCACCCTCCGGACAGACAAAAGTCCATAGCTCAGCCCACTTTCCTCTTCGCTGCTTTGTCTTTTATTCACCAGCCACCAGAGCAGTCCTCCATGCAGTCCCTGGCTAGCAGGGCTGAGTTTTAGGTTAATTCTTAGGTTCTATCCCCACTCAGCAATATCTAAGCTGTCTGTGCCATCAGGATCACTGCCAGACTGGAGCTCCATATGTCTCCTTTTTTGTTGTTTCCATGCAAATTCTTCTGTTAATTGGAGTTTAGTCGACTTTTATATTCTTCCCTTCAAGGCTCAGGGGTCCAGGATTATCTTCTGCATCTGTGTTAATTGGTTCCCCTTTTCGTTGTTGAAGAGGGTCTGTGCAGTCTTTCTGCCTATTCTGCCATCTTGGATCAAAAATTTTTACAGTGAAAAGATTAGCTGAAGTTTTTCCTAAACTAAATCAATGGCTTCAGTTGCTTGAAAACATGGACCCAAATACTGATTGCTTTGCTAAAGTCAATAGGCAGATTTGGGAAGCAGTGAGATGTTACCACAAAATATAGATATGTGTCACTTAATATCCATGATACAGTCTGTAAAGTAGATGTTATGTGATTTAGATGTTTTGCAAACACTATATTATATATGTACATATAGGCAGTTCTTGTGCAATCTGTTGTTAAATTCCCACAAAGTCCAGTACATTAAAACCTTATGGGAGCCCACCAGACAAAGACTGAGAGCTGTACCACTGAATATAGGAGGCCGGCTTTGCCAGGTATGTGTGGCTAAGCCAGGCAGGGGCTGCGGTGGAAGGTGGATCAGGACTTTGAGCATGTCCAGGCATGGAATTGGTGTGTGTGGGAGTACACAAGGGACATGGAAATGTGTCTGTGGAAATCAGTTGTGTGGATGCTGGGAGAAAGGCTGGCATTGGTAGCCCTAACTGCTGCTGCCCAGAACTGGAAGCTAGAGAGTGCCCTGGGCCAGCACCTCCAGTACCTGTCATAGGAGCAGAGGAGCTGTGGCAGGCACTGCCCTGCACTGGGAGTGAGAGGCCGCACAACTGCTGGTCAGGTGAATGAAGCCAAGAGGCGGGAAGGAGGTGATGGTGGTGGAGGAGGAGGAGGCCGTGCTGTGGAGATTGGGATGTGCCCTGGAGCCTCACTGCTCCTTCACTATGGGTACTTAGGGTCTTTAAAACCATGAAGGGGAAATAATAAGCAAAAAGAGAGCTGCTTTCCCTTCTTAAAAATAAAACAAAACACTTTATGAGAATACAGACATATATGTGATCAGACATTGCTTGAATAGACTTTAAGCCAGGCATACCTGATTATGAAGGGAAAAAAAGGAAAGAGCTATACAGACAACTTTCATCAATTTTCTCACTAGAAATGCCATCCTTATTACCAGGAATAATCCAGATGGTGCAGAACATTCCTCAAGTGGAGTTATTACTCCAACTGACAAAATGCCAATGTTGTCCAACTCTTCTTTATTGTCAGGGTAAATTTTTATGATTTTCTAAAAAAATGTTTGTACATATTAAAATATATTTGTAAATTTATATGTACTGTTTCCAAGCCCCAAAAGCAAATAAAAATTGGAATTATAAAGATACTGATAATGAAAGGCAATCATAATGAAAATTACAGAAGCAGATTGCCTCTTTTTCCTCCTGTGGAGCATCTGGTGAGTTTGAACCACCTACCTTTTGGTTAGTAGCCCAATGTCTTAACTACAGCACCATTAGAGCTCCTTATGATGTCTCTTATGATCTCTGAATTACACAATTTTGTTTTGCCCTGAATTTGGTTCTCAATTACCAAAGACAGAATTAATCATATACCTAATTCCTAGCACCTTATCATATTGGTTTGTGCAAGTTCTATCTCTTACTTATTTTCTATTAACTCTTTTCTTCCTTTACATCCCCTTCTCCTCCTACAGGCAAGCATTCTAATCAATTTAATGTTTTTTGTTTGTATGGTTTTTGTGAAATGCGTATCTTTCTCTCTTAGTCTTGGGCACTGTGCTTTAAATCCAGCCATGTTGCCATGTATACATCTGATTTGTTGCTTCTAATTGCTTCACAGTACTCCATGTGTGAATCCACCTAATTTACTAATCTATTCTTGATGGACATCCAGATTGTCTTTCACTCCTCTGAGTGGAAAATCTCAAATTCCCCCTTTTCTGCCACTTCTGTTCTGACACCAGCTGCACATGCAGTACTTCTGATCTTAATCACCCGGTGTTAGATCAGATCTCACAAGTTACAAAAACACAGTTCTCTAGATTACCAAGTAGGCCCCAAACCTCAGATGCCAGCTGTAAGCTTAGGAGTAACCATGACACCTTTGCTTCTGACCTGCTGGCTACAGATTTGGAGTTTTCCCACTACCCTTTCAGGATGCCAGCTGTAAGCTCAGGAGTTTCCAGGGCCCCCTCACTTCTGCCCTGCTGGCTCCCACTACTACTTCGAGTTTGATAATTCACTAGAACTACTCATAGAATTCACAGAAAGTGCTGCGCTTACAAGTATGGTTTTATTATTAAAAAAAAAAAAAAAGCACTTACAAATGAAGAGACTTATAGAGTGAGGTCTGGGAGGGTTCCCAATGTGTAGCCTCCATGTCTCAAAAAGGGACACGCTATGCTTTCACATGCACTGATGTCTTTTACCAACCAGGAAACCCATGAAGTTTCCCTATCCAGAGCCTTTAATGGGGCCTCATTACACAGTCAATATTCATTGATTCAGCTTACTTCTTCTAGTTAGCCCCCACCTGAGTCATCTCATTAGCATAAGCTTTCAGGTGTGGTCTGGAGGCCTATAGATAATAATTCCACCCCCACTGCCATGAGTCGATTCTAACTCATAGTGATCTTATAGGGCAGAGTAGAACTACCTCCATAGAATTTCCAAGGCCATAAATCTTTATAGAAGCAGACTGTCTCATCTTTCTCCCACAGAGTGGCTGGTGGATTCAAACCAAAGACCTTTTGGTTAGCAGCCAAATGTTTTAACTATGCAAATGTTTTAACAATAACCAGAGTTCTTTATAGATAGAAATCAAAGACAACTCAATTACTTAGGAAGTTTCAAGGGTTTAGAGTTACCTCTCAGGAACCAAGGATAAGAACCAAATATTTTAGGGAAGATTAATGTAAATCCCACACATTATAACACAAATATTACTACAATGAACCTCTTTAAGTGTATGCACATGTCCCGTTATGGACATGACACCATCTTAGCCATAAGAGGAACTTAAACACTACCCAATGCTCTTTCAACAATAATGATGAGAATTTACTGAATGTTACTATATGCTAGACACTGTTTTAGTGCTAGACCTAAAGTGGGAAACAGGATAGATGGCCTCTGCTCTCAGAAAACTCACATTCTGTGAGAGAAAACAATAAACAAATTTTCTTTGGTGGTAAAAAGCCCTATGCAGAGAATTAAAACAGTGTGTTCAGGGTGGCTACTTAGATTAGGTAGATAAGAATTACCATTAGTGTTATTACCTGGATAATAAGAACAAGTAAGCTAAGTGAACAGCCTTCTAGGAAGAGAGTATGGCAAGTGGAGCCTTACGAGGAAATAACTTTGACATATGGAATAGTAGCAAGAAGGCACAGTGTAGGTAGGCTGTAGAGGTTGAGGAGGAGTGTGGTGGAATGTTAAGTCTAAGTTACCCATTACTGTGTAACAATATTACAACAAACTTGGTGACTTAAAACAACACACATTATCTGTTTCTGTGGATTAGGAATTTGAACACAGGTTAGCTGGGCTCTCTACAAACTGGCATTCGAAGTGCCGGCCAGGGCTGGGTTCTCAACTAAGGATCTGATTTGAAGCTCATGTGGTTGTTGGCAGAATTCACTTCCTTGTGGGCTGTTTGACTAAGGACCCCAAGCTCTTGCTGATTGTCAGCTGGAGGCTGCCCTCAGTTCTTTGCTACATAGGCCTCTCCAAAAGGGCCGTTTGCTTCCTCAAAGCCAGCAAGGGAGAGAGAGTCTCTTAGCAAGACAGGTTACAATCTTATATAATGTTTTCATGGAAGTATACCCCATTACCCTTGCTGTTTCCTATTAATTAGAAGCAAGTCTAGGTTCTGTGCACGCAAGGGGAGAGATTACACAAGGTATGGATGCTAGAATTGGGGAGCACGGTAGACGTATTTTAGAGTTTGTTTATCACAGTAAGACAAGAGATTGAAGATTTACTACTTAACTCATGGTAAGTAGTCTAGAGTTTTTTCTAAGTGGGGTGGAAAATTACTAGGAATTTTGAGCAGGGAATTATATCAGATTTAAAATTCTTAAATATCCTCTGGCTTCATTGTAGAGGATAAATTGTAGCAGGGCCAGCAGGAAAGCAAAATAACCAGAGGAGGCTATTGGCCCAGCCGAGGCAGGGGATGACAGTGATTGGCCTAGTTGGGGGTATGTATAGAGAGAAGTAGATAGAAGTGAAATCTTCTTTGGAAGTAGAGGTTATAGCACTTGATGATGATTTATTGTGGAGCTGTCTACAGACAAGAAATTTGCCCAAATTCACAAAGTCTGTCATTGGAACAGCCAGAATTAGAACTCTGGCTGCCTAGTTCTTAGACCATTTCTCTTTCTGCTATGCCATTATTGATGCCATAATGTATAATACATTCTCTTTTCATCAATTCCCATTCCTGTCCTTTACTTCCCACACCCAAATTTAGCTTTAAATGAACTAACTAATTTAGCACAGGTGGTTTTGAAGGAGAGGCAATGTTGCTGTAACTTTAAAAGATGTTTTTGGAATTAATATCATTAATAGTGATATGGTAGGTAGGAGCAACAGAAGCCATCACCTCAGAGAAAAGATGCCTATTCCAGCACTGGCAGAGTCCTCTATTCCTATTTTGTAACAATTCCTGTTATGCCCTCTTCTGTGTGTTTGTAATAGAAGTCTGGACAGAGAAGCAAGACAAAGTGAGAGAAAGGAGACTATGCTGCCTTTATTTTTTGGATGTCCTTAGGTTTATTGAAAATATCACAGCAGAGCAGAAAGATTTAAACAGCTCCACATGATGTTTTAAAATTCATCTGAAATGTGGGCTGAATGGCCTGCAGTTTGGACAGACTGCCAAAGTCCAAGAGTAAGAATTTCTTAGTGTCAGGATCTACTTCAGTGATCTCCCGATCCAGAGCTGAGACCTCAAGAACATAATTATCTCTTCTTTCTCTCCTTTTCCTACAGCTTGATGGAGATACTGCTTACAAGGCCTTTCTGGATCTACTCCATCAGATGTGTGACCTAGCCTGCTATCTTGTTGCAGAGCTTCTTGCTGGGAATAATGGTGATCTCACACACATGCTTGTTCACATGGTAGTGTTGCCCAGGTGCATGTATGTAGCCCTTTTCAAGATGACCCAGGTCGTGTTCCCAACATGCTTATGTTGTACTGTCCTCTTGATTTGTACTCTCCTGAAATGGAGGGTTTCAGTCTTATGAACACTTTAGGAAGTGCCCTACTTCCTTTCCCCAGGGTGCCCTGATGGTTAAGAACTCTAATGAGCTGCGTTCTTCCCTAACTCCTTACTAGTCTTCTGTAACAGACAATAGCTTAAGAGTAGGAACTGTTTTCATAAGAGTAACTACCAATTGTTGTTGTTGTTGTTGTTATGTGCCGTCGAGCCGTACCTGACTCACAGCGACCCCTCCTTGGGTTTCCGAGGCAGTATCAGTATGGAAGTAGATTGCCCCATCTTCCTTCCGAGGAGTGGCTGGTGGGTTTGAACTGCCAGCCTTCTGGTTAGCAGCCAAGTGTCTTAGCCACTATGCTACCAGAGCTCCCACCAATTATTGAGTCTTTATTATATTTTAGACAATATGCTAAATACATCTATTATTGTCCAGTTTTACAGGTAATAAAGCTAGTGCTCTACAAAGCTGACTAGTGAGTATGCTTACTTACCTGAATCTGAAGGTATATCTAGCCTAGAAAAAAAATAAATTGCATCAATGGAGAAACATTAAGTGAGTTTCCATTTTTACTCTTTTTTCCCCTTATGTTGTTTTA